TTTCCGGTTAATCGCTTTGAATTCTACTACAATTTTTTCCTATCATTGTTCTCAGATTATTAGATATGTTTTTGTATGTATTTTTCGTTTGTATTTAGGATTATTTCACATTAGATTATATATCTTTTGTCAATATATTAGATATAATTTTCATATTTTTTTTAGTTTGGCTTGTGAATGATTCCTACCATTAAAATAAAGTTAATGTTTGAGAGATCTAATGTCAGTCTATTTTTTTATCTGTTTGAGAAACTCCAAGAGCCATGGCCGTGCAAATGTCAACTGTAATTGCTACACATGACTATCTCAAGAGCGTGAAGAAGAAGTTTGAAGCTAACCCTAGGAAATATAATACATTTCTTAAGGTTTTGAAGGGCTACAAAGCTGGGAGGTATTTTTTTTTTTTTTATGCTTTTACAAAATTTTCAGATCTATATTACATTTTATAGAAAACTAATTTATTTAGATTTTGCATTGCAGAGTTGGTACCAATGCTTTCACTACAAGAGTTAAAGATCTCTTCCGTGGGAAAGAAGAGCTACTTTTGGGTATTAATGCATGTTTACCAAATGGTTTAAAGATAACACTCAAAGATATTCCGATCAAAGATCCATCAAAGATTACCTTTAGTGATGCAAATCGATTTGTTGGCAAGGTCAAGGTATGCAAAAATCTCATAATAATGATACACAATTCGATTTACGATACTTTTTTTTAATTTGTATAAACATTGTTTATTATTTGTAGGCAAGGTTTCAAGATGAAGATCGTACATACACATCATTTCTAAACATTCTGGACTTGTATAAGAAAAACAACAAGAGTAGAATTGAGGTTTACAATGAGGTATATATTGGTGTAACTACATTATGTATAATTCTAAACTTTTATTATTATTATTATTATTATTATTATTATTATTATTATTATTATTATTATTATTATTATTATTATTATTACTATTATTATTATTATTATTATTATTATTATTATTATTATTATTATTATTCTTGTATTTGATTTGATGATATGTTGGTTTTGCAGATGACTACTCTTTTCCAAAACCATGTTGATTTGCTTGAGGAGTTTTGTCTCTTTCTCCCTATATCTTGATCAAATCTTAAAGAAGCACAAATCTTAAGTTCTATGTGCAATGATGTCTCTTTGTGTCACTAGTTTGTTTTGAATTGGTATTACAATTTCTATTGAATAAACTTTATCTTCTGAACGCATAATTTAAATTTAAATTTTGTTACACAATTGTTCACAAAAAAACAAAGCTCAATCCTCAGTAAATGCATGGATTCTTCTGAAACCTCCCTAAGAATTATGAACATACAAAAAATTTAGCCTAAACTTTATGAACACTTTTTTCTAAGACCTATTTTGTAGTTATTAGCTATAACTCTATATTATTATTATCCTATCAGTCAAAGAGTGGTTTTCTAATTAATGTGTGACTGAAAAAATATTGAATAGATTTTTCCTATTAAGTAAAATATCAAAATTGTTCTACATAGTCTTTATTTTATTTTATTTTTGTTCAACTAAAAGTTTAATAACAATTTCTCTAGATCTTGATATACATGGAGAACCAAAAAATTAGATTCTATATATGAAGAAGGAAACGGTTTATTAGTTATAACAACATAGCCTACTCGCAAAAAGACAAAATAACCATACCGCCAAATTTAGGAGGCTAAGACCAACATTATTGGTGGGATCTAAGCATTAGATTTACACTAGAGAGTATCCTTTATGCCTAAGATCCCACCAATAATGTTGGTCTTAAGATCTTTGCTTATGACACTTGGATACCTTCCGAGAGAGAACAATTTTTTGCAACATATTAATACACTAACACATGTGTTATAGCCCATAAAGACCAACCTCAAGGCCAAAATGATGTTCAGACAGAGATTGGCAACTACTCTGCAGAGCTTGCTCAGAATGTTCATGCAAAATATAAATACGGATATTCAATAACAAGGACATCTATGTGGAGAGAGAATCAACCTCCTGGCCAGCAAGCTAATCGAACTGAGATTTGAGACCACTTTTGGGCGATGGTTGGGAAAGTACAAACAACAAAAGGAGGATGGTCAACAACTAAGATCTTTGGTAATAACGAAGCTATAAACATGCACATGTATTAGTGTCTAAAGTGATATATTTTAACAATAGGTGTAACAAAATTTATTACAGCCTAAAGAAAATTCTATGGTAGATTTCATATTATTACAGCCGCATGACATACCTTTGGTAAATGAGGAAGAACGATATCAACAGGTTTGAGGAAACGACAACGGTTGCTTTGCTATTTTGAGCCTATACATGCAAATGTATTATTTGCTAAACTGGTTAAAAATTACAATAACAGAACACTTACTCAAGAACACTTACTCAAATACGTTGATTGTTAGCGGGTAAAAATATTAGGAAAAGTAATTAATATGGTTATCACTGCAACCAAAATATCCGACAAGAACAATGCAATTAATTAGCACATGTATTATGATGAGATCATAACCAAAGTAAACCGGTGTCGACTAAGATAAGAGTAGAAACGATGAGAATATCATATGTGATCTTATTGTTGCTAGTGGTTTTGGGTAGATTATGTTAAATCATTGATTCATGTCTATCTCCTAGGATAATTACAAGGGATATGCCACAACTATGGAACAATTGTCAATGTCTAGTACAAATTTTATGGGAGAGTTAATAATAGTCGTAGGCTGGGTTGATGACACAGCTGCGGGTGCTTGGATGTTTTGAGTCTACACATACCATACAAGTAATCAGAAACTTGTTAGATATTGCACTAAAAAGGGATGTAGTCACACTACTGAGCTTGTTAATTTGTGAAAATTTACCATAAGAGAAAAGTTTAAACAAATACGTCACTTGTTAGTAGGTAAACTTATCTACGATAAGTAAGATACATCGTTGGTTATTACACTAAGTAAAATATCTGGTACGAACAAACGGTATAGACTAGAACAAGTACAGTGAGCGGGATGACAAATTTGGCTGCGGTTGCTTGGATGGTTTGTGTCTACACAAAACAAAACAAAAAAAGTAATCGCTAACTTGTTAGCTATTGCACTAATACAAGAATTATCCACTATTTTTTGTTTGTTACTAGGAAACTTAACCTCTTCATCGAACCATTGAGTTTCAGTGCAGCTGCAGCCGCGAGCCCCCGCCTTCTGCCACCGGATTGTCGGACCGGGTATCATCGCTGCCTGGAGACTACATTGCATAGTCGAAGGAATAATTGTTAGCCATTACCTTTATCAATACCGAACATGTATCCACATGATATGAAAATATTTGATAATAAGATTTTTATCAGTTAACCTAGCCACGAGATCTAGTTTCATTTGCCTCGACATTGACATCAGCAGCGAAATTAAGAGGCTGGCCACCAGAACAAGAGCCAGCTTGGGCAAACGAGCTGATACTTACATTTTGCACTTCGACGTTACCCTCGTCATCGATAACGTTATTGTTATAGCTGAAGCTTATTGTGGATCGTAGCTTAGTTGTCTATGTGTCGGAAGCCATCATCGCCGCTAGGGTGCTGGAGCAAGTAATAAAAAATTAAAAATCTACACAAAATCTAATTGTTAGCTGACAATGTATATGCGTCTAGGACCTAATCACCTAGTAGGTAAATCACATGGCTGTAGGGATACAATGGACAAAAGAAAGTTAAAAGTAAAGGTTTCACATTGCTCTTGTCACCCACCTAATTAAGGCTCCGAATGGAGAAAAAGTAGATTAGGCAAAGCGGATCAAGTGGAACAAGTGTAGATTTAGCGTTTTTGGTAGAACAACAGCAGATCAAACAGATTTAACAGTTTAAAATGTATATTTGAATGGTGAAAGCATATAAAACGATTGATAATTAAAAATAATAATGATAATAAAAGCGACTTTATATTTCAGTTAAGATTTTACAATTTATTATACATATGATAGTAAGTTATATTAAATTAAAATTTGGTATATTAGTTTAGCATCTTTTTTTGAACTTGTATAACATTATTTAGTGTTTTCTTACAAAATATCTAAAAGAAATTAAGATTACTTATGACAAATTAGTACATATAAATTAAGTTTATTGAATGTCTATCATTTATTTTTATTTTAAAATCAAATAAAAAGAAAAAGGAAATGGAAAGCTGTATAAAAAGCAAAGAAATAAAATAAAAAATAAGTAAAAAACAGATACGCTTGTACCACTTCCAAATTGGTGAAGTACTACTGTAGATGGCAGATCCTTATTTTTGTTCGTGTAATTGAACTGCAAGCAGTTCAGTAATATTTTATTATTTTAAAAATTAAACTGCTTTCTAATTTAATTAAAGGCCTTGAATGGCGTGGCAGAAAAAAGGCAGGTGATACGCATAATGGAAGAACTGCTGTGAATGGAAACAAAAGTGCAGTTCTCCCGCTCAAGCACTAGAACTGTCTTTTATCTGTACTTCCATTCACAGCCTTAAGTGGTCATCTGTGTATTATTTTTTATATTTTCCTACTTTAAAATATTTTAAAATCCTTAAAAATGTTATAAATTTAAAAATATCAAAATTTTGATCAACATATACCAAACAATCAATATAAAAATTCAAAATATTTTAAAATAAAAATAAAAGGTAAAGATTTTGAAAAATATTACTATTTAAATTTTTAAAAGTGCATTTTTAAGTGTTTTTACCCATTTTTCCTCATATTTAAAAGAAAAAAACAAATATGTGGTCGGCTGTGTCCAGCGCAACGAAGCTGATTGACTCTGAGAAAACAATTTGTATCTTTTACTAATTTTGATTATTCTTTGTGTCAGTCAGTATATGACACCTGAAGGCTAAAACAACAATGTCAACATAACCATTTTGAAACCAAAGTACTTGTTCTTTATACGACCTTTCCCCACTTGTGTCAGCTTCTTCTCTTCATCTTCTTTCTCTTACCGTCTTAAACCCGACCGTATCTTTTGCTTTTCTTCCATTTTCTATTTAATCTCATATAATAAATCCATTAATTTTGGTTTCTTGATGACAACGACATGTCAACCTTTCTTGTTTGCTGGCAACACCTACCTTGTATCTTTAGTTTTCTCCAAAAAAGTTTTGTGTAGCTTCATCTTCTATGGAGAAGAAGCTGGTTCTGTTGTTCTTGGTTGTGTTTTTGTTCATAAATCTAACAAACGCCACCGTTAGGGTTCAGTTTTGTCCTAGAGGATCTGCAAAAGATTATATCTTAGGGTTTCGAGATAGATCAGCTTTGCATCGTTCTAGTTTTGTTTCTGTCACCGAGGTAATTTTCAGAACCGATGACTTTATTTGGTTTCTTGATTTGAGTTTTGTGGTTTATGTGATTCTTGTTTTGAAGGGAGATGATCGGTGGTTACAAGTGGCTTCTGATATGATTGATAAGAACAAGTGTGACTATGTGGCTTTACTCTTCTATGCATCATGGTGTCCTTTCTCTAGACTAGTTAGACCAAGCTTTGATCTTATCTCTTTGATGTATTCATCGATTCCTCACTTTGCAATTGAGGAATCATCAGTTAAAACAAGGTGAGTTTTGTATAACAGAGCAAATTTTGTTTATTTTTGATCTATGATGTTCATGGTTTGATGATCTTGTTTTGTGTTGTCCAGTACTCTTTCCAAATATGGAGTTCATGGGTTTCCTAGTATCATCCTTTTGAATTCAACAATGCTTGTAGCTTACCGGGGATCCCGAACACTAGATTCACTTGTTGCCTTCTATAGTGATATTACTGGTAAGGCATTTTACTTTGGCTGTATCTTTGTATTGTCGATTTAGAAATGGTAAGCATTTGGATGTATGCTTCAGTCTTCTTGTGGTTGGTATTGTGCTCTTGTTATTGGTTGTGTGTTGTCTCTTTAAGAGTTCAGCTGATTAAACTAACAAGGAAGCATTCATGGATGTAGGAATCAAAAAGCTGGACGAAACTTGGGTTGAGAAAAACAGGTTAATTCCTCATATCCACGCAGAGCCAGAGAATTGTCCTTTCCCATGGGCAAGGCGATCACCCGAGAATCTACTTGGCCAAGAGACTTATCTGACTCTTGCCACAGTGTTCGTCTTGTTAAGATTGCTACACTTAATATCACCCACAATGTTCTTGTTTTTGAAGTTCATTTGGGGGCGGATTGCTAAGAATATGAGACCGCAAAGAAAGCTCTTGGAGCATACTGTTGCCGTGTATCTCAAAGAACCTTGCATGAGTAGCAATTTGCAGGAAGGAGCAATGAATGCTAAAGCATGGGCTTCCAAGTCATTAGCCACAGTCTCAATCGGGGAACCAACCTCATCAAACAGAAATGATTCCGCTTCACAGTGACATTATATACCTTTTTCGAGGATTCAACAAACATGTATAATAAAACACAACAGTTCCACTGAACAATGAGGGGCTTTGATTCATAGCTTACAATTTTGTAGCAAAGTGTAAAAAAATGCTATCAGATTACAACATTGTAGCCTAATTCATAATACAAAGACTGATACTAAAACTACTTGAGCTGTCTCTCGAATAGAGTGAGCCAAAACTAGTTAAAACTCAGGATTGGTCCATCTGCTGCATATCCGCATACTTATACAACTTTTCGTTAAACAAAACCTGTGGATCTTTACTAATCAACACACCATTAGCATTGTAACAATCCTTCAAAAACACAGTCCAGTTCATCTCAGTACCAGCCAAGTAAAAAGTCATGGGCTGCTTCTTCAGCATCTGGTAAGTCTGTCTAGTCAAACTAAACTCATCTTTAAATTCCACAATATGATGAATCGAAGCTCTTTTCTCCAGCGTTAAGTTCAAAAACTCGTGCACAATCCCAACACGGTACTTCTCCGCTTCTAAAGTCCACACATCAAACTTCCAACCATCCGAATAAGGCGAAACCAGAGGAAACGTATTCAACTGATTCAATTTCCTCGCATCCATCTCTTCCAATTCTAACTCTTTCCCGTGTTTCACCGGAAACTTAAACGCTCTTTTCGCTTTATCTTCGTCAACCATAAACTGTCTCTCGAGCTCACTAACCGCATGATTCGTATCCCAATTCACCAATTCAAGAACCCGATTGCCATCTTTACCCGTAACAACACGAAAATACTCAGGATACTTCGCAACCCTGTCTCTAAAATCCTCAGGAATCCCAAAAATCAAACGAGTATGATGAATCTTACTCAACAAGATTCGTTTATCTTTCGTCATCATCAACAGCTTACGAACACGATTAACTCTATCTAACTCAATCGAATCCATCAAACCTCTCTCTTCATCTAACAAATCCTCCATAAACTCAGTAAACCCTAACCAAATCTTCCCATCACTATGCCTATACGTTTGAAAAATCAGAGGATGTTTAGGGATGAATCGAGTCACCTTACGACCTCGAGGGAACCCAAGCTCACGGTAAAGCTTTCCGGCGTCGTCTAACCGGAGAATTCGCTCCGGTTGCTTCGATATGAACTCTTTGGATCGGATCAGGAATCGGAAACGAGCGTCGCGTGAGACGATTGATTCGAGATTTGGGATCTTTGTTGATTCGTGTTGGACTGGTTTGGTTCTTGCGGACTCTGGTTTTTTTCGTTTTTTTTTGAATTTATCTGGTGTTTTTGTTATGAGGAATGAGGTTGAGAAAGGTAAGGCTCTGAGATTAGGGTTTTGATTTGGGGAAGAAGACGATTTGATTTGGGATTTTAGGGTTCTTGAGAAGAGACGAAGCCAAGCCATTTGAGTGGTAATAATTAAAATTAATTAGGGGTTTAAGATTTGACAATAGTTGTGTTTTTTATAAATGGGTATCAAAGCGGGAAAGAGTTTATTGGGCTTTTAATATTGGGCCTAAATATGGGCTTAGGAAATTTAATACGATGACAACAAATAGTCATCTTTCTAACGTGACTATGTACAAGAATTGTTGTTAGAAGTTTTGTATTTACTGGTAGTAAATGTGACGAAAATTTAATATGGATTTGTTTTTTTTTATCATTAATATTGTATATCATTTCAACTTTACAATCAATTTAAACTTAATAGTGTTCATATATCCTACGGCCGAAACATTTATAATCTTTGTTTAACGTTACGTTGATCTTCAAAAAACTTTCAGTATTAGAGTGACATTCAGTGTTTAATCTTTGTTTTATGTTACTACGTTAATCTTGTTATAACAAACGTATTATCGGCTGACCTTTAGTGTGAGTCACTTGAATAACGAAAGATCAAGAAACCATATATCACTATAGAAGTGTAAATTTAAATTGATTTTAAACTAGTTTTTTTATCAACCATTAAAGTTAGAGTTGGTTTTAGTTTCCGAAAAAACAGCAAATAAATAAAGATTAAAATTCAAATTGTTCAATTTGCATATTAATGTTTTTAAGAAATATCAAAAAATGTAACAAAAATTAATAAAATATATATTTTTTAACTAACATGTTTTCCATATTTTTCATCCTTTTAAAATTTAATACAAATACAATTTCTTTTTCTTAGTCAACAATAATTTTTTTTTCCTTGTTTTAAAAAAAAAATTATGTTGTTCAAAATGTGGACATGCGATTCTTAATTATTCAATAATGCTTACACCACTAAATTAAATACATATATTGCAATAATAAGGTTAAAACTAATTATAACATCTTAAAAACTGCAATGGCCGACTCTAACCAAAACTGAATCTATATATGAAACTCACAAAAAATATGAAAAAGGATGACTAAAATTTTTTTACAGAAAGAATTCGTGATTAGATAAGAAAGTGTGGAGGTCATTATTTGTTTTTCACAAAGTACAATAAATAACATTGTCCACCAATTTAGGTCATTAAAAGAGGAGGACCAAACACATTTTATGTTTAACTTTATTTGATTAAGGAATACCACAAGTAAATGCTTAATAAATGAATCAAAATTGCAATAACCTTTAAATAATCCATTTATTCATTTATAGTTTTACAACTTAAAATGTTACAAAAGTGTTTTGGAGCTGTTAAAAGAGAAGTCTAACTAAATGAACCAGGCTTCAAGTATGAAAACGAGATTCAAGAAACTCAAAGAAAATTACTTAATAGATTAATTAAGTAAACTATCTTGACAACAGCCATAGAACTATCCCACATAACATTGAGCTCGATTCTTCTTCTCAAGTAGTAAACTAAGCCTTGTTGGTGTTTGTGTTCAAAAATGCATGTCTAGAGGATTTCCTCAAAAGTGTTTTGGATAAGGCCTAAGAAAATTTTATATGGTAACTTGTTAAGTTTTTGTCTCTATTTTTTTTTTATCTATTGTCTAAGCAAAGATTGATACTAAGCTCACAACAAATCTAATCGTTTCTCCTAAAACAACTAATTTGTTTCTGTCAAATTGCTACTTGCTAGGCTAGGTATCTTTTACTAATTGTAAACAGTAATGTTGCGGAATTCTATGCCAAGAGGAAGAATAAAATTATCAAATAATTTTGTACTTACTGGCTAGATTCGATTATTTTCATACTTTCGATGTAATTCATAAAGTAGTGTTATTGGGGTACAAGAGAATGGTGCATGAACTGAGACATAATATAGTTATTGTCGTATAATACAATGTAGAAGAGATTGTCGTATTTTTCGAAGTAAAAAGAATAACGAGGCGGAGATTACAAGCTATATAATGAGAAAATAAGATTAATTAAACAGAGATAACCCATTTTAAATGACTCAATTAAGAATGAATTATGTGACCTAATCAAGGGTGAGTGGCAGTATTTAATTAAATAGAGATTACAAGTCCCTTTGCATTTTATTTGTACATCAAAAGCTTACTTGGTTATATTATAAAAATATACCGCGAAAATGCTATTTTGTATTGCTTTAAACTACTCTAATATTGTTTATATCTTTTATATACAAAATTAGATATAAAAAAAAGTGTTAGACAATACCAGAATAGTTTAAACGATATAAAATAACGACATAAGAAAGCAATATGGAAAATGAAGAAAGGAATTTTTTTTTTCGTTTCATTTTTATAGCTGAAAATTGCTAAAACGGTATATCTTGTTACCAATTCTAGTATCAAGATTCAACATGTAAAACTAGCCTAACTAAATATGTTTTCTTTGTAAATGTTAGCGGAAAATCAGAAGGTGGAATTATTATAGATTTTTTTCAGGATGTTATGAAGTATCAATTTTGAAATGAGAATGGTTAGTGTTCATAATGTAAACAAAACATATATCATAATTACTTGAATAATATATCCTTTAGGATTCTGTTATTTTGAACAATAAAGAAATAAAATGTTCGATAGAAGCAACAAAAATATAGGATAAGGTCTGCCATATGGGTATTTAAAATCTCTTTGATTAATTCAAGAGCTTACTAGCATCTTTTGGAATCAACCACTCCACTTGAACTAAGTCATCGTAGTAAGTAAAAGTTAATTTGCAATACGTATTACTGTTAATATCTTTTTCATGAACCTACCAAACATTAGGGTATCTAAGCTAAGTAAAGTAATATGATTTAGTTATCATAGAACAATCTAGTTTCACAAAAACCTCTTCATGAAGCAAATTTAAGAACTTAATTAGGGCAAGCAAGGTTATACTTCAATATTATTATATAGATCTTCCATTTCACTGGTTTGGTACGTCCGTGCGTGTTCATGTACAAGTAGCTAATAAATAATACTTGAAAACTTTCAATTCTTTGAAAAAGGAGACAAGTTTAGGATAGATTAAAAATAAGACAATATAACAACGATGAAGCTTGATTTGAAAGCTAGTGTCTCACTGTCTTGTAATAGATTAATAACTTGGGATATGGGCGTGTGGATTGGGGAGTGGTCCATATTGCTAAAGCTTTTGAACTTTTTTCTAGTGGAAACTTATCTATCATACAATGAACTTGAATTGCATGGGACTCCTCAATATATAGACATGGGATATAGCGACTGTTCGTGCATATGTAAATACTAGAAGAGGAATCAGCCATGCTAGATACTTTAAAAGCCATGCTAGATACTTTAAGAGCCATGCTAGATATTCTGATATATTAGTTAAGATAATTTGAGGGTTTTTTTTGGTTGATTTAAAGTAGTTTGATTTTCACAAGTCTAATGTTATCTTCTTGAAAATATCATCAGCATTTTATGTAATCAAGAAGAGTTACTACTAAGCACTAAGCCCTAGCAAGTTATGGGGTCGAAAAAACTAGGAATATATCCATGTAAGATGTAATATTCAATTCATCTCCAACTAATGAATATTTATTGACACTAGCTTGCTATCAGTAATTTTAGGTGTTCAAGAAATCACTCAATGATATGTGGAAGATAATCCAATACTTAACACCTAAAACGCTTAATCATAACCTAAACGATTTTAGATAGTTGAGGTGGTTACAATCTAAAAAAAAATCTTTTTTGTTTTAAGAGAAAATATATAGATGAATAAATGTAATCAAGATACAATTAATCGGATAACCATTGTGGTGGGTTATAAAAATCTGAAAAGGAAGATGAAAGATTACAACCATATTTTGCTAATAAATGTGCAAAACCATTACAACATCTTATTGTGAAAAAAAAAATTGAGTTAATGAAAAATGCGAAGCCCAATATTGTATATCATGGATAACTACTCCATCGATAGCAGTATAAGAGTGTCGATGGTTTATAATTTTAGTTATAATCACACGATCGCTTTAAAAACAGATCCAACTTTATAATTTTGTATCTACCTTGAGAGGGGATAAAACTTTGCTTAATAGCAGAGATTCCCATATAATACCTCATAACCCAACTTTTTAAAAATCCAAAAAATCTAAGTACATTAATGTAAAAAATAATATATCTAATCATAATTTTAACTCTTGATGTAGGATATAAATTATTGAAATGATCACATATTTTATATAATTAATTATAACCTTAAATAACATCACAATATATACACTAACAATATAGAAAAACCTTATTTTAAAATATAAATATACAAAATTATGTATAAAATAAAGTTCATTCCATGTTGTTGCACGAGTTCTGATCTACTACTCTGTATTATTATTTTTGAAGTACATTTTTAAGAAAACCCTTTAATTGGTAAGATATTACAAGGAATGTCATGATTTGAAAAATTAATTAGGAACCTCACTTATAGAAATAGGATTAGATAAATAGTTATCTATGCATTCAAACAACCTTTAGTTAGTTCCATAGTCTTCATAACTAAACACAACTATTTTTTTCATCAGGAATAATAAAAGGGGAAATTTCAAAAATACTCCTTTTCCAATACCACTTTTTAAAAATACTCATTTTTCTAATTTTATCAAAAAGTCACTATAAAATTTGAAAATTATCAAAAATATATGTATAAGCTTATATTTATAGACACAAATTATCTTTATATGTGTGTAAATTTATATATATTATATATATTTCATAAATACCGTATAAATACTTTTTTAAAAAACCTTTTAAAAACCATTTAAAAATCATTTAAAAACCTTCTAAAAACTTTGTAAACCTTTTATAAACCTTATAAATGCCCTTTAGAACCTTTTAAAATTTTATAAATATTTGGATTTAGTCTACCAATAGTAATGATGATCTTGATGTACCTTATCAACCATATAAAAGTTTATAATTTTTCATATTTGAAAAGGGGTTTATTTGAAAATTGATAGAAAAGAGAAGTATTTTAAAAAACGAGTACATGACATTTCTCAAAACTTCTCGTAATAAAATTAGATATATACATAAAATGTTTCACAATTAGTAATATAAATATTTAGAAGATTTTGTTAAAAAGAAAATAATGCATCTTCGTCATCTTTGTGTAACATATCGTAGTATTAAACAATCATATAACACAAAAAGTTAATTAAAACTACTTTTTCTTCTACATATGGTGTATTTCGAAGTTTAAAATACAAACATATGTTATTCAAATTAATGAAGAGTATTTGCAACTAGTGACCACGGAATAATAGAAAATTGAATTAAACTAGTCAATGAAAAATATGTTCAACATCTCATTCACATCAGCTAAAATATTTGGATAACATTTCAAAAATAATAGTATAAATGAAATAAACCAATTTTTTTTAATTCATTAATTATTCGTTTCATACCTACTAATTAACCAAACCAAATTAAACCACGAGATAACCAATAGAATAACATAAAACCAATCCAATAAATCAACATCAATATCAACCAAGGCAAAATCCAGCAAATCCTAACATGCGTCCAATCATAGTTCCAAATATAATAATAAAAATAAGCAACACTCAACGACTCTAGATCATTTTCCTCGTCATTGCCTTGATTCCACGAGCACATTTTCTCTTTACTTGCACCAGAAAATAGAGATGAGTGAGTTTTATCACAAATACTCAGTGAGACGATCAATATGCATTAACACAAATGAAACAATCAAACCATGCACAAAAGAACACGGACAACTCGTTGTCCAAAAATGGAGTTTATTGACACCCGCATTGGTGTCGATTGTCACCCTCGACAATGATCCTCAATGTCAACCGAGACCCACCCAATGTCGATCTACACAACCTCCATAGCAGTCATGGAATCGCCTCTTGTCACTCCATGACAACGAAACTAAGCTCCAAACTCGACCACTAATCAACAAACATGCAATTTACAGCACCAAAACACACAAAACAGATACAAAATCCAATTCATAGCCATCTACACAGTCAAATTACACATTAGAAAGTTTCACCAACTTAGATCAGCCATAGTCACGCACTCACCTCTGATTTGGATTGATTAAGGACGAAAAACAGAGAAAAAAACTACATCAACATCTCCTCACACCAACAACCACAAATCTTTCCTTACTCTTGCTAGAACTTACAAGAAACAACCTTTAAACTCCTCCAAAAATTCTTCTTAAGTCTCTCCTTTGATCTTCCAAAACTCATGCAAGCCAAAAATTTCTCCTTTCCTATCTAAAAGCGACAAGACTCACTAAAAATGAGAAAGCGGCTGCTCGAGTTTCTTATCAAAAAAATAGGGGTTTCCTCCTATACCAAATCAATTAAACATGCAATTACGTCTAAACCGCCAAAACTGGACACATGCGTTACAATAAAACAATTCAGTTTGAATATAAATCTTAGTAAGCAAAAATCTTAACTAAATATGCATTCAAATTTAAAAATTTGTATTGGTTAAATTTAGTTCTTTGGTCGAACCATTTAATTATACCGGATATAATAAATTTTAAATTTTATTTTCATAAAATATTTATAATATTATATTATAAATTTTTGAACTTATAAAAAGTTCAAATTACGTTGAGATAAATTATAATTCGGGATGATTTTGGACTGAGAATAATATAAATTCATAATATCATTAACCCATGTTGTATCTTATTTTATTATTTGGTAACATCACCAATATTAAATTATTACACATGTCAAAATAAAATTGATTTAATTATGATATTGTGAAAAATAATCTTAGTACATAACTAAAATTTATAAATCTAAGTATATATAGCAAAACAAATTGTAAAAAATACATTAAAATAAAATTAAATGCACTTTTATGCAAAATTACGTGGTTGAGATAGTCATAGAGATATCGTTTGAAAGCCTAGACATTAAACAATATCTAAACCGTTTTTTACAACACTAATAATTTCCAATCTAATAGTATAAATTATACATAAGCATACCTAATTAGTAAAAGCCCTATAGAACTCTTAAATTTTCTACCATAAAAATCTCTTAATTTGTAGCATTTTGGAATATAAATTTTATGTAAATCTCTTAATTCGTAGCATTACTATAGTACTTGAAATACTATAAATTTTTAAAATAAATGACCTAACCAACATAGACAATGATCTCAAAGATGGTAATGATTTCACAAAAGCACAATAAAACCAAAACGGTGCCGTTTTGCGAATATTATTAATAACAACGTATTGTCTCGAGAGATCATCCAACCATAGTCCAGCTAATGTTTTCGTTAGCTCCTCAAGTCACGAGCTTTTTTCACCCACTTTTGATGACGTGGAAGCGCGTGACATCACGTGCCGACATAGTTTTGTCAGTAAATGTTTATACCTATGGATTAGGAATTTTATAGGCTTACTCATCTCTATCTACTAACTGCCAGCTGTACACTCTTTCCCATATCTCTTTGTGTTTTGTCTTAAAAGAAACCTCATTTATTCCAGCCTGTCAGAAAAAGGATTATTTTAAAATTTTTAAAGTCTCTCTCCTCAACGTCTCGCAGAAGTTTTACCTTTTTGTTCTTTAACTGCTCTAAAAAAACACAGCTTGCATAAGGGTATTTACGTCATTTTAGGTTATGGTTCTATCTGTAACTAAGCTGTCTTTTTTTTTTTTTCGGTACTGTCAAAATTTTGATACCATTGGCTGTATGTAACTATGAACATTGCTTAATCTGACACAATTAAATCTCTTTAATTAAATTTTCAACAGTATTATGATCACTTTTTACTAAACAGTTTATTAATTGGTTCAACTTGATTCAATTACTAATTTTTTTTTTAAAACATAACCTGTGTACAGCTTTACCTCAATTTCCTATTTTTATTTATTAAATAAATTAAATAACATAACCTGTGTACAGCTTTACCACTAGAATCCTATGTCTCATTCTAGTTTCTAGACTACGAGTCTTATCCAAATCCAAATGAATTCATATGTAATATATATACAAATTAAAACAAAATCTGTTTATTGAGTTGATTAATTTCATTAAACAAGAAAATAGCTATTCAAAAAAAAAAAATTAATGATGTAAAATTTAACCTTATTTACAATATATATGCAACATTAAATTGAAAAATATTAGGTTCACAAAAAAAATAGAGAATTATAAGTTAATTGTTGGTAATTAAGAAAATTTGAATTTTGACATAAACCAAAAGTTGTATGTTAGCTGGCAACAGTACAATGGTCCATTACTCCGTTTCATCTTCTTCTTCTTTTTTCCTATTTTCTCTGCAACTTCCCTTTCTCTTTCACTTTAAAGCACATCCTTCACTTTTATTTTTTCTCAATTTTAAATTCATATTCAAAATCTAAACCTAATATTAAATAAAATATTATCCACTCTCTCTGAGAGTCATATATAAATAGCCTTCCATCACACTCTCTATTTCTCACACAAACCAAATCTAAAAAACATCAAAAATCACTATTTTCACAAATCCTCTCTATTTCTCATCTTTTCAAAAATGTTGAAACTCTTTCTATTTTTGTCTCTTCTTCAAATCTGTGTCTCTGCTAGAAACCTAGCATCATCAACAGAAGAACCAAACCAGTTCAAACTACTTAAATACCACAAAGGAGCTCTTCTCTCCGGCAAGATCTCCGTTAACCTAATCTGGTACGGTAACTTCAAACCTTCACAAAGAGCCATCATCTCCGACTTCATCACCTCACTCACACACACTTCCCCGACGTCCAAAACTCTCCACCAACCATCAGTCGCCACGTGGTGGAAAACCACAGAGAAGTACTACAAACTCGCCGGTTCTGCTAAAACCTCAGCGTCTCCTTCTCTCACTCTCTCTCTCGGGAAACAAATCCTCGACGAGTCTTGCTCACTAGGTAAGTCTCTAACCGATAAAGACATACGTAAGCTAGCTTCAAAAGGTGACCAACGCGACGCAGTCAACGTAGTTTTGACTTCAGCTGACGTGGCTGTACAAGGTTTTGGTATGTCTCGATGTGGTACTCACGGACACGCACGTGGTTTAGGCAAACGTGGATCCAAGTTTGCTTACATATGGGTTGGTAACTCAGAGACACAGTGTCCAGGTCAATGCGCGTGGCCTTTCCACGCACCACTGTATGGACCACAGAGTCCACCACTTGTTGCACCAAACAATGACGTGGGACTTGATGGTATGGTTATTAACTTAGCTAGTCTCTTAGCTGGAACAGCAACGAACCCTTTTGGTAATGGTTATTACCAAGGTCCACAAAACGCACCGCTTGAAGCTGCTTCGGCTTGTCCTGGTGTTTATGGTAAAGGTGCTTATCCTGGTTACGCTGGTGATTTGCTTGTGGATACAACAACGGGAGGTAGTTTTAATGCGTATGGTGCAAACGGCAGGAAGTTTTTGCTTCCTGCTTTGTATGATCCTAGTTCGTCGAAATGCTCCACTATGGTCTGATGAGAATTAAAAAAAAAAAAAAGGATCCAATGTTTTTGGTTCTTTTGGTAGTAGAAAATAATATTCTAGTGTAATTCTTTTTTTTTCTTTTTTTTTGGTTACCAATTCTAGTGTAATTCAATTTATTCATTAATATTATTAAATCATTTTTCCCTTTGAATTAAATTTAAAGATTATTTCCTAATATTATTGATTCAGTAACCTTGTCGCTTGGACGATTATTTTAATCGAATATTCTTCGACAATTTAGCTAAACCGTTTACTTTTGTCTAACTTCAGACAAAAAGCCAATCCAACTTGTCTAGACAGAAGCAAAATAATGAAATTAAATAACATTAACTAATTATAGAGTTTCGACCAAAAAAAAAACTAATTATAGAGTGATAGTAAATAATTAGATTGTAAGAAACCATAGCCAAAATATATTTGTCTTAATTAGACACTTAATACAAATTTGAAGGTTGAAATTCTTATATTTTTATTTGGTATATTTGTAACAAACAAAAAAAATACTATGTTATAACATTTGTTTCTGATGTTAAGGTTTTTTATTATTCATTTTAGACCCTCAAAATTTAGGAACAAACCTGGCCAAATATGGAACCTAGAAAATGCAACAACAACTTGAATATTTTTTTGATAAAGGCATAGTGGTTGATACAAACTTAAAAAAGTCCTTTCGGTCATGTGATCAAATCCTTTGGTGGTGCATCGGTCGGTGAACGGTAGGGACGGTTTGGTAACGTACGCGGTTTTGTTTTCTTGCCGAATGTTTTTGTATCAAAGATCTTTAAATGTCCCACCACCCACTCATGACTCATTGGTTCTTTCGTATGTAAAACGTAGCTTCGTGCCAACGCCATATCACACTATACACCTATGCATCTTTGTGTGTTTGACTTTGTTAAATTAATGATTTTGGTGGGTCAAGACAATGATGAGTGACAAAAGTATCAATATTGCTTTTAAAACAGTAGTTGTAATCTTACATTAAATGGAAGGAAACATTCTCGAGTAAACTTGTTTAAAATTGATACAAGGATCACCACAAATACATTATCATCATCATCATCATCTGAGATCACCTCAAGAGCATAATCATGTTCATGTAGTCCCTTTTTGGAGACTGAGAAGCATCTAGGTTGGTTTGGTGAGATTGAACGTGCAAACATCTCAGATGGATCCATCCTGCAATGAGTCTTGACTGTGTACTAGTGACCTTATAGACAACCTACCATGTCTTGTTCCCTTTTCGGATCATGAATCTTGAACATTGTTGTCATCTCCTCAAACGTCTTTAAAGATCACCTGAATCACAAATTCTTTGCAGTTTCGAAAAGCTGACATACAGTTGCAGCTTCTTTAGTACAATAAGAATTGAAACTAGTTTCCAGCAGAAACAAAAACAAAATCCAGCCAGGAATAAAGCCAAATTTTTTAAGAACTCCTCTTTTAGTTTGTCACTGGATTTTGCTTTGTTTCTTTTGGAAGCTACTTTCTTCTCTTCATTGGCAACATCTGTTTGGGATTTCTTCACCGATGTGGCCGAGAAATCCCAAATTTTCATCAGATATGTTTTTCTTGTGTTTTGTAAAAACAAATACGGCGGATATGATGAACACATAAAAAACTATGAGTATGATTTTTTTATAGAGCCAAACAAATTAACCTAGAAAACAACATGCCAAACGACGTCGAATAGATTAGTATTTATACGACATCGTTTCGCATGTTTTAGTTTTATACTGCCTATAAAAATAATTAGTTCTAAACAAAAACGTTTTTACAATTATATGCAGCTTAAAGGAACCAGAGATCCCTTTATGCCATTCACAAAACAAAAATGTTTACAACTAATTGACTAAAACATCTTTTGGGCTTATAAAAAATCGTTTTCAATTCCTAAACGAAGTTTTATTAGGTTTAATGATCCGGCCCGTTATGGCCCAATAAGGAAAAAAGGTTTTATTAACTTTTCCTCTCTTTCTCACCTGAGTATCGTCGTTTACGTCTCTGTAAACACTGCGAAAATGGAACCTTCAAAGTCACAAAACACGCCGGAGAAATCAACCTCCGAAGCTCCGGCCACCGTTGCCTCCGCCTTTCCTCCTTCCGGATACTGTACTAACTGCGGCGGACCAACGATTTCCGAACCACCACCACTAGCTTCGTTCCCGGAGATGTCACCACCACCGAACTACCGCCCGATCCGAGCTCCAGCCATCAATCTCCCACACAACTCTCAAGCGATCATCCTCTCTCCCGTTCCTCACGCCGAACAAGTCCCCGTCGTAACTCCGCCGTATCAATTCGAGACTCCGGTCAAAAGAATCCACTCTCCCGACGATATCCGCCGATTTCAGGAATCTGCATCTTGTAAGAACTTTTTAGGATTCGTTGTTTCACTATCGGAATCGATCCGTGGTCATAAGATCTCAGATCCTTGTGAAATCTCACCAACCGTCGCCGCCATAGTTTCAATCCTTGAAACCTTGTTACAATGGATCGATGAGATTCCTCCTGCTCAACAATCCGCTCGATACGGTAACGTTTCGTTTAGGTCATGGCACGAACGGCTCGGTGAGAGAGGTGAATCGCTTATTCTTGAGTTTCTCCCTGAGGAGTTTAAAGAATCTATAGTTGAGATTGTTCCTTACTTCTTCGATAGCTTTGGGAACTCGAGTAGGATCGATTATGGAACAGGGCACGAGACGAATTTCGCGGCGTGGTTGTATTGTTTAGCTAGGATGGGGATAGTGAAAGAAGAGGATTATCATGGTTTGGTTGCTAGGGTTTTTGTTAAGTATTTGGAATTGATGAGGAAATTGCAAATGGTGTATTGCTTAGAACCAGCTGGATCTCATGGAGTTTGGGGGCTTGATGATTACCATTTCTTGCCTTTTATATTTGGGAGTTCTCAGTTGATTGATCACAAGTATATGAAACCGAAGTCGATTCATAACGACGACATTTTGGAGAATTTCTCTAGTGAGTTCATGTACTTGTCTTGTATTGCGTTTGTGAAGAAGGTTAAGAAAGGTTTGTTCGCTGAGCATTCCCCGTTGTTGGATGATATAAGCGGTGTACCGAACTGGAAGAAAGTGAATAGCGGGTTGCTTAAGATGTATAAAGTCGAAGTGCTTGAGAAAGTTCCTATTATGCAGCATTTCCTCTTTGGCTGGCTTATCAAATGGTATGATTCATCTTCTTTCCTTTTGTCTCGGTTTTAGCTGCTCACTGTTGCTTTAGAATAAAAACTAGATTGGATTGTATATCCTGAGATGAATATCTAGAATGACATTTCATGTTGGTAATCATAACCTGTGATGATGATATTGAGTATTCATAGATTGCTTACCAAATTCAGAATAGATGACACTATAGTGGATCCCTGGTTCTGAGTGAATCAATGGGTCTGCTGGGAAGTCATAGCTTCTCAATTCTTTTTGTATGAATTTTTTACTGATCCTGTTAGGTAGAGAAGTTTTTAAGTTTGCAGATCGAGTTTACATTATCTGCTGACGGAGTTTCTAGTATGCGGTTACACGACTGTGTTCGTTAATTGGATACATATAGTGAATAATTTGCTGAAAACTAATGTGAATGTATTTGGTACCTCTGCACAATATATGTGACTGCTTCTCTCATTAGCCCCTTTAGCTAAAAATCTCTTGTCGAAAGGCGAATGTTTCGAAACATCGTCAACAAATCTAATTGTGTAAAAAATGGTGATGGCAGGGAAGAGTGAATTTGCATTAGCGCCATACATGGGAAGCAGAGGCCGCGATTTTTCTCTTCCTCGAGGTGGCTTAACATAAAGTAGAGACTTCTTTGCCTTTGAATGTAATCTGAGAAACATGGTTTATTTCATATTCGGAATACTATCATGAGCCATCTCCTTCTTGTATTCTCTGCGTTTTAAACTTAACATTGTCTTTTTGATGAATCCCTTAATGCCTTATACTTTATCTAATAACAGAGTAGAGAACCAGATAAAGAGAAAATGACAGCTGAAACAATGAAGCTAAACCTTTGCCTCCTTGATATTTAAACATAAATAACATAGATATGTGTTACCGACCCACTTTTGTAATTATTTCACACGTAGCCTAAATTTGGATTTGTAGAGACTACAATACTGCTTAGAAAAACACTACGAATGATTTTGTGGATGTCCATTACAGGCTCATTAGTCTATTCACCATATTTGTATCCTTATATATATATTTTTGAGAACTTTTGAAAAATATCCCTTTTGGTGTACCTTTTTTAAAAATACCATTTTTTAATCTATTTTCAAAAATATCCCTTTTCAAATATGAAATATTATAAATTTTTATATGGTTGATAAGGTACATCAAGATCATCATTACTACTAGAAGACTAAATCCAAATATTTATAAGATTTTAAAAGGTTGCAAACGGCATTTATAAGGTTTTTAAAAGGTTTATACAGTTTTTATAAGGTTTTTAAATAATTTTTAAAAGGTTTTTAAAAGGTATTTATACAACATTTATAAAATATGTATATAAATTTACACACATATAAAGATAATTTGTGTCTATAAATATAAGTTTACACATATGTTTTTGATAAATTTCAAATTTTATAGTGACTTTTTAATAAAATTAGAAAGATGAGTATTTTTAAAAAGGAGTATTGGAAAAGGGGTATTTTTGAAATTCCCCCATATTTTTTTTTATTAATAGAACGAATACACATCTTTTACTAGTAGCGGAGGTAGAATTTACTTTTATAAGGGTCAACTTTTATCTAATTACCAAATTCTCATAATTATTTTTTTCTGGTAAAGGTCAGTAAACATATTTCTAACTATTTTATTAGGGGTCAGTAAGCACATATTTATCTATTTTCTGAATTTTTTTTTAAAAAATACAAGTAAATAATTCTTTTTGTAAATTCATGGGGTCAATTGACACCCTTACTAACCCTCTACCTCCGCCTCTGCCTTTCACCCCCTAAATCTCTTTCTTAACACGTTATTAGCAAGCTCTAACCCTAGCCGTCTAAGA